CGAAAAATACACTTACAACGACTGTTTGTTCCGTTCCTGGCATTTTTGATCACTATAAGCGGCTGATTCTTATAATCAGCGAACACTATAAGCGGCGACCACTGTAGGTACACAAGTTTTTTAACGATTAATGGGTCAATTTAATAAAAGCATATAAATGGTTTTATGTCTTTTTTATCATTTAGTATTATTATTACGATATATATTATTAAGTTATAGCAGTGATTCTCAATCTTTTTAGGACCGTGACCCAATTTTTTTTCCAAAAATCTTTCACGACCCCATAGTTTTACATTTACAGAATCAATAAAAATAATTTCAAAAAACAAATTTATTCTATTTTATTTCTTATTTACTACTTTATAATAATAATAATATAATATTTGCTTGTTTCTTACAATCTATATAATTAAAAAAAACTTCTCGTGGCCCCCCAAAAATTGACTCGCGACCCCCTAGGGGGTCGCGACTCACAGTTTGAGAAACACTGAGTTATAGTATTGTTACACTCTTCCAACCCTACTACATTCCGAAATTGTAGCTTGATACTCAAATATTTATATAAAATACATATTGGATATTATTTGTTGATGATATATAAATATAAAAACATATGATGGTAATTTATATTAATCAGTCTTAAATTCTAATAAGAAATTTAGGCAATGTAAAGTTATAACCTATAATATAATTGTTTTGTTACCTACGTATTGAGGTGGTAGTATCACGTGGATTATTCCGTAGTAGTATCACATGACATGGTGCTCGTTATCAGTTATTGAGATTCACGACATTCAAGTAGTGCACTGTAGTGTATTTACTGTTATTTATTGTAATTAACGTATGGCGTGTCGTGTCGAAGATGTACATGTAGTTTGTAGACGGTTTATTAATTAATTATTTCGTATCTATTATTAATATTTAAATAATATAGACTATATTAATTAAAATAATAAATCAGAATATTTTAGTGATTGAAATTTGTATTCGTATTACAATTTATCATGGTACCTAGTTTTGACTAGTTTCACCGTAGAATTTTTTTATTTTCTTGTCTAATTTTTTTTTTGTTATTTTCTAGACTGAAAACCGTAAAGGTACCTTTAAGGTAGAATACCTTCGGCAGATTGAAAAAGATATCCAACGACAATGGTATGAACAAAAAATATATGAAATTGATGCACCTCCATCCAAAAATAGAAGGAATGCTGATGAAAAATATTTTATTACATTTCCTTTCCCTTATATGAACGGTAGACTACACTTGGGCCATACTTTTTCTTTATCAAAATGCGAGGTAAAATAATTTAAAGCCATAATAATATAATCATAAAAACATAAATTATCATGATTGAAATCTTATTTCTAGTTTGCTGTAAGATATCACCGTTTGAAAGGTAAAAAAGTTTTGTTTCCATTTGGTTTTCATTGTACAGGCATGCCTATCAAAGCATGTGCAGACAAATTGAAATGGGAGGTCCAAACATATGGTTGTCCACCAGAGTTTCCAGATATGGATGATGAAGAAATTGAGGTTGAAGTAAATACTGAAATTATTCAGGATAAGAGTAAAGGAAAAAAGGTAATTTTTACCATTAATTAAGAGTGTACATCATTACCTTTGTACTAATACATATATATTTCTAGAGTAAAGCTATAGCAAAAAGTGGTAAAGCAAAGTATCAATGGGAAATTATGAAAAGTTTGGGTTTTGAAGATGATGAGCAAATACGTAGTTTTGAGGATCCATTAACATGGTTAAATTATTTCCCACCATTAGCTGTTAAAGATCTTAAAAGTATTGGTATTCATGTAAGTATTGTATATAATAATTAATTATTTTGATTGTAATTTCATATTTATATTAATTTTTTTTAAGGTTGATTGGCGTAGAACATTTATTACTACAAACGAAAATCCATTTTTTGATAGTTTCGTTCGTTGGCAGTTTTTACGTCTTCGTGATAATAACAAAATAAAGTATGGAAAACGTTATACTGTCTTCTCTCCCAAAGATAATCAACCTTGCATGGACCATGATAGAGCTAAAGGAGAAGGTGTTGGTCCTCAAGAGTATACTTTAATTAAAATGAAAGTAATTAAACCCTATCCAGAAAAACTCAACTTTAATAAAAAGTATATTAATTACCTTTTTATTTTTGATAAAAACACAGTAACTTATATTTTTGTAACTGCATAGAACTATGAAAAATAAATCAATATTCTTAATTGCTGCTACTTTACGGCCAGAAACAATGTATGGCCAAACTAATTGTTGGGTTCACCCTGATTTAGAATATGTGGCTTTTAAATTAAATGATGGAAGCATTTGTATATCTACTGAGAGAGCTGCCAAGAATATGTCATATCAAGGGTTTACTAACAAAAATGGAGAATATGAAATCATAGCTAAACTGAAAGGACAAGTAATTTTCAATTGTTTAATAATGTATTTTAATAATATCGCTTAAATATTATTTTAGAATATTTTAGGTGCCAAATTAAGAGCACCGCTAAGTTTCAATGAAGTTATTTATACCTTACCTATGTTATCAATTAAATCTGATAAAGGTACAGGAGTTGTGACTAGTGTTCCTTCAGATTCGCCTGATGATTATGCTGCTTTTATTGATCTTAAAAAAAAACCGGCATTTAGAGAAAAGTATAATATAACTGACGAAATGATTCTTCCATATGAACCTGTAAGTAAAATATACTAATATTTTAAATTAAGTACTTAGAATTATTTAATTTAACTTACAATTTATTTTCAATCTTTGTTACATTATTTCTGACATAATGTACATACAAATTATTAATAATGCACCAGATTATTGTTTTTTGAAATTTAGATACCAATTATTGAAATACCTGGCTTTGGAAATTTATGTGCTGTAGCAGTATATAATGAATTAAAAATACAGAGTCAAAATGATAAAGATAAATTACAAATAGCTAAAGAAAGAATTTATTTAAAAGCCTTCTATGAGGGGGTAAATTAATAGTTAATATATTTTTAATAATTTAATTAACTTAGACACTAATATTAAATTTCAGGTGGTCATTGTTGGTGAATTTAAAGGCCAAAAAGTTCAAGATGTAAAAAAATGTTTACAAAAAAAACTTGTGGAATCTAATGAAGCTTTTCTTTACTATGAACCTGAAAAAACCATAATGTCTAGGTAATTTAACTTAATTTAGTTTTATTTAACTAGATATTTATTATATATAATTGATTTATAGGTCTGGTGATGAATGTGTTATTGCTTTATGTGACCAGTGGTATTTGGATTATGGCGAATCAGAATGGAAAGCAGCAGCAGAATTAGCTTTAAAGAATTTGAATACGTACCATGATGAGGTTAGGAAAAACTTCACAGCATGTTTGAACTGGTTACATGAGTATGCCTGTTCTAGGACTTATGGTCTAGGTAATGTTAATTTGTTTATCCTTTAATATGGTTCTAGGTTAAATTTTATTTAAGTTTTATTATTTATAAAAATATAGGAACAAAATTACCATGGGATGAATATTGGTTAATTGAATCTTTATCTGATTCTACAATATATATGGCATATTACACTGTTGCTCATATCTTACAAGAAGGGACTTTTAAAGGAGAAAATGGAAACCGTTTCAATATTAAGTAAGTCAGTGTAATCACTATTTAATATAATTAATACATACAATATTGATAAGTAAAATAAAAAATGTCTTATTTAAAAATTCTCGATAAATTATGGTTTTAATGATAATCCTTTATCTTGTAAATATATTTACAACACATTTATTATTATTTAAATGATTAAATGCAACACAAATCAAGTACTTAATATTTCTAATGAAAAAAAACATTTCATGTTTGTAGACCAGAGGAAATGACTCCAGAAGTTTGGGATTATATATTTTTAAGTAATAAAAGTTACCCAAACCAATGTAAAATCAAAAAGAAATATTTAGATATTATGAAAAATGAATTTGAATATTGGTATCCAGTAGATTTACGGTGTTCTGGCAAAGATTTAATTCAGAACCACTTAACATTTTTTATTTATAACCATTGTGCTATATGGGCAAAACAGCCAGATCTTTGGCCAAGGAGTATAAGGGCTAATGGACATTTGCTATTGAATTCAGCGAAAGTAATAAACATTTTTTGAATTTAATATATGCATGTACATTTATTTTAAAGTTTACTACTTTTTATGTTTTTGTTCATGTTAGATGTCTAAATCAGATGGAAATTTTATGATATTAGAAGAAGCAATAAATAAATTTAGTGCGGATGGCATGAGATTCTGTCTAGCTGACGCTGGGGATACTGTTGAAGATGCAAATTTTGTAGAAAGCATGGCTGATGCAGGTATCTTATACTATATCAAAGTATAAAATTGTTATTTAAAATTTTGAAATTTAATTTGTTTCCTCATAGGGATTTTACGACTGTATACTTTTATTGAATGGGTTAAAGAAGTATTAGCTTCAGAGGAAACTTATAGAACAGGATATACTACTGATTCATTTACTGACATTGTATTTATGAAGTAATTAAGTTGAGGATTTATTTATAAATTTTATAAACTTAAAATAAATATATTTTCAGCGAAATAAATCTTAAAATTCAACAAACTGGAGAATTTTATGAAAAACTTTTATTCAAAGAAGCGTTGAGAACCGGTTTCTTTGAATTGCAAGCCGCTCGTGATAAGTATCGTGAACTTTGTGGTAATCCTGAACTTGGAGGTGAATGTATGCACAAAGACCTGGTGTTGCATTTTATTAAAATCCAGACTATTTTAATATCACCAATTTGTCCTCATGTGGCTGAACATGTTTACCAATTATTAGGAAATGTAATATTATAAAAAATTAATTCATTTTTAGCGTTATCATTTTTATACATATTCTTATTATATAGAAGGACAGCGTTGTTAAAGCAAGTTGGCCTCAAGCCAACGAAGTTGATTATAAGTTAATTCAAAGTGGTGAATATTTAATGGAAGCAGCTCATTCGTTTAGACTTCAACAGAAGAATATATTGAGTATAGGAACAAAGAAAAATCAATCTAAAAATAAAGAGGTAGAAAAACCGATAAAAGCTGCAGCATGGGTTGCAAAAACTTTTCCACCATGGCAATCAACAATATTGGAAACAATGAAGCAGTTGTATACTGTATGTATCTAATTATTATATACTTAATATGTTATATTTTAATTTTTGCTGCTAAAAATGTATAAACATTGCTCTAATTATATATATTTATAATTTGTTTTTAATGAATTCTACAATGTTTTATTATAGTATTGAATTTTTTATAACTAGGAAAATAATAATCTTTTACCGGACAATAAAACTATTTCGTCCGCTTTGGGAAAAAAAGAATTTTTAAAAAAATATATGAAACGAGCAATGCCTTTTGCACAAATGATAAAAGAGAAACTGCTCAAGGTTGGTGATTCTGCTTTTAACATCAAATTAGATTTTGATGAAAAACATGTGCTTGAATTGAACAAATCTTACTTGGAGAATACTTTAAATGTTGGTATATTTATTTAACAATTATAATATTTTTATTTTTTTAACCATGCATATTTATATTTTTTTAGTTGGAACATTTGGAAATTAAATATTCTGATGATAGTGAAGCTCCTGAAAATATTCGTAATGAATGTTGTCCAGGCCAACCATACATTACATTTCTGCCACCTGATGAATCATTAACTTTGATTATTATGAATACTCAACCGCAAAAACCATACTTCCAAAAAGAACTTCCTGTGTATAATGGTGATACTGTAGAAAAATTAATAAAAAGAATTAAGAAATCTGATCTTAAACTTAGTAAGTACTACATTTAGAAAATATCTTGTGTTGTTGGATAAATAATTTAATTTTGGTAATTTATTTTTTATTAGGTGGTTCCAAAATTAATTTATGGAGATTCAAAGATTCTGTTATGGGACCAAGATTGATATCCAATTATTTACTACCAACAGAGAATAGTATCTTGATGAAAATTGATACAATATTTTCTATTGACCTCGACAAAAAACTTATTGAATACAATGATGGTCAACAAAAAAACCAACCGCTTGGGAGTAAAATCATTTATACTGTTGAGTAAATACATGTTCACTAAATTATTTGTACTTACGTTGATGTATGTATACTAATATTATTGAACATTGATGTATAATGTATTCATATTTTATATTGTCTATTGTTTTTTTTTATCAAACCAGTCGACAATTTAAATATAGATAGAACTTAATAAGGATTTTACATTTTGTAAAATTAACTAAAATTTTTAAAATGAATGATATTTATTTCTAATTAATTTGATCATTAAGGATTTTAAACATTATCATTTAGATAATGTGATATCATTTTTTTGTTAAAAGAAACTCTTGCTTATATAAAAAATTAAATACTTACTCCTTTTTAAGAAAATGGATGATGTAATTATCAGTATTCTTCCTTTTTTTTTTTTTTTTTGATATTGTAATCCTTTTAGAAGTAATAAAATATTGTTAAATTTCTTTTAAGTTAATACATAACTTTTCCGCTTTGTAACTGTTTATTTATCATTTCATATTAAATAATGAATTTACTGTTTACTATCTTCAAATAGATGCTTTTTTTTTAACATCAGTTAGTGTTTATTTGTTTGCACATGAAAAAATTCAGAATTTTTAAATTTACTACAGAATAAACCAAAGTTGACTTCATTATATATATATATATATATATATATATATATATATATATATATATTTTTATAAAAATAAAACTGGAAAAGTTTAATAGGTAGATAGACAAAATGTGAATCATTTAGTTTTGTTTTGACAATTAAAATTAATTACCATTGAAGGAAATTTTTGAGATACAAATAGAATTTAAAAATAAAATTTTATATTTTAACAAAGTATACAGCTTTTCACTAAGCATATGTATTTATTATTATTATTGGATAATAAGTGTGTAGACATTATTCATATGTCTATGTTGGTAACTTGAAAAATAATAAAAATTTAATGGGTTTTTTTTCATTGGTATTTAAGAGCTTTCCAAAAAATAAAATATAAACTATATAACTAATATTTTAATATAATATGTTCTGTCTAATATTAAATTAAAAATTAAAAATTAACTGATATCTAATGAACGAATATGTTGAGGTTTATATTTATGAACCATCTCATGGTCATAATGTACATAAAAAGTACATTATTTTTCTAGGTTCTTTTAATATTTAAAACAAACATTTTTGTTTGGGTTCAATAATTGAAGAAATGGTACATGTATTTCAATTTATTTAAATTATTGCTCGCTTTGGAAATACCCTTGAGTCTGTTGCTTATGTATATAAGTGTTTATATACAAATCATAATACAACACATAGACATAAATAATTATAATAATAATAGTAATAATAATAATAATAAAAACGATAAAAAGAAGTTATGAAAAATAAATAGTTACAATGTACAAAATTATCACATTTCATTTCAATTCAACGATAAGATGACCTCATATATATGTATATATTTTTTTTCATATCAGTAATTTGGCCAACTTACAGTTATTTCACTATAAAAAAAGAATAATAATAATAATTATAATACAAATAAATAAAATAACTTTACCAACAAATAAGTAATTTTGTATAAATATTGTTTAAAGACAGTAGTTGATTATTGTAAACAAGCTTGGACTTTTTCTATCCATTCTTGTGCAGTAGTCATATCACTAGCTGAGAAATTATAAGTTCTTCTGTTGGTGCGCAACTAATTAAATAATAAAGAAACAATAAATGTTATTGTTAACTTGATATGAAACAAAATAATTAATTATTTACATCAAAGAATGATTTATCATCAGTTTTTTTTGGTGCACCTGGCGTTGGATTTGCTTGAGACACAGACATTACTTCAGCAAGGTCTAAATCAACATATTGAGTAAATATAATTTAGATAAAATATAGATCATATATTTTTAGGATTATAATATGGTAATAAGTTATTGGTAAGAATTATAATTTATATTTCTAGTATAATATGTAAATATAATTAACATATATTATAAATAAAACAAAACGAGCATATTATCTAAAATAATAACATTAATTACATACTTTATATGTTATTTACCTATATATCCTTTGCAATGAGAATCATCCATAGAATCATAGTATCTTAATTGATGTTTTATTGAATCCAAAACAAACCATCGCTGTTTCCATGCTTTCAAGAGAGCACCACGTTTGTATAAATAACCTTCATGAGTCCTGTTTTCAGCTACATTAGATGAAAACTGCTCATAGTACTGCTGATGGATTCCATTCATATCTACAAAATGCCATTATAAACAATTTTTTTACATCAAAACCCATAATCAATAATTAAAACCAATAAAATCTATTATTTTCATATATTAAATTATATTTAATAATACTTCTATTATTTTAAGAGTACTGCATAGAACAATTTTATTTTATAAATTTGTTTACAAATATATTCAATTGAACTATCTTTTTTCCAACTCACTTGAATTTACTGAAGTTGTTTCACCACATGTTCTATTGGCATTTTGATTTGTTAACGTTCTGTCACTTACAGCCTTGTACTTAGTACAGCTTTTAGGTACATTTTCTGAGCATTTTTCATGACAGCTATAACCACAATCACAACATCGCATACCGGTCTGAAATTTTTTAAAAACAAGTAAATTTACTATTCATACTTTCATAAAAAAAAAAAAAAAAATTTAAATAATTAAGTTCATTTTCTAATACTGAAAAATTTCAGCAAAGAAATTAAAACTACATAGTAAATTATTAATTATTAATAATTGTGCTAACCATCAAATGATTTCTTGACAAAATAATAGAATAACCTTAATAATTATATATTACATAAAGAAATATAATCGAATCTATAATTTCAAATGTAAGACACAATAATAATTTAAACACTATTAGATTTGTAAGTATATATGTAAGTAACTTACAATTAAATAATAATTATTGTATAGTAAGCCATATCCATTAGAAAAACAATACATTAATGAATCACAATCTCAGAATAAATATAAAAAGAATGTTTTTTCAATTTATATTTCATTATTTAACATAAATAATATAACATGACGCACAAAACTGAAGGATTAAAAATAAACTTTACCTTTACTGGACCCCAAAGAAGACTAGAACAAAAGTCACAATAGGTAGGCGTGGTAAAGTTATATTTTTCAAAGCGGTGTGGATGTGAATGAGGTGGATTTGTGTCTGCATTTGAGGATGTTGTATTGCTTGCTTTACCACGCATAAGAATTTCTAGTGTAGACCGTTTGTGTAATAATCGCCCATGATGTCTAACCAATTGAGTACTAAAAGAAGCGTGCCTCTAAAAAAATTATTTATTTTAATTTAATTTAATAATTTTCTAACAATAACATACTACCTTTAAAGAATCAGCTGTATCAGGAATTTCTAATTTATCCCAGAGCACTTTCCATTTTTGTGGCAAAAGTCCTAGTTCAGTTTCAAGCTTATGAATTTCATCTAATAAATACTTGAATGCATCTGGCATATAACGTTCCACAATATTATATCTAATAAAAATTAATTAATTGATAAAAACAATTAAATGGGGGAGATAAATTATAATTAATACCCAGTTGTAATAACTTTTCGTAAGGTTTTGTTAGAAATACCATCTGCTGCTTCAGCCTCCTCTTCTTGTTGCATATCCATCTGAATAATCTCCAAATCATAACTTGGTCCGTGCGCTAATTCTTCATTTAAATAATACTGCCACACATTTAAATTTGGCAACGATGACTGTGGTCTTAACACCTAAATTGGAAAATTTTATAACAATAATAAAATGTTTTTGGTCTGAAAATGACATAGCCACTTATATATACTGTACCGGTTGTTCAACATTAGGCATGAACATGAAATTGTAAAATATTGATGTACGAGCATTATATTTTTCAATGTAGTCAAACACTGACTGTCCTAAATTTGGTACATAATGAGATGAAATATTGTTACCAGCTATACGACCTCCTGTAATAAATAACATACATATGATATTATAAAAATAATAATTCATATTTCATAAAATTATAAAATAGCATACATTGAATAAAAAATAATAAAATACCTGGATAAACAATATCATCATCTGAACCAGTGTCAACACTTTTATGATGTGATGTAAGTGATCCTCTTTTGTCTTCAACAGCGGCCACTCCACACTCTACTCTTTCTAACTCACAATCTAATAAAAATGTTCGGAATCGACAAGATACTGAATGATAAGCCAAAAATCTTAAATAATAATCGTTAAACTCAAATGACAATGGAAACTGGCCATGGATTTGGTGAACAATATCAAGAAACTGCAAGAAAGTTGGTGCAAATCCAGAAGCCTGTGACGCTGTAGCCAAATTACTACGATGGCTGAAACGATGACCAAATGCAAGCCATTCTTTTTCAATCAATACTCTAAATCCTTCAATAGTACGATAATATGGATCCATGCATAATTGTGCTATTGATGATAATTGACAAGTTATATCCCATCCTTCTTCTAAACATAACATGACAGAAGAACCTTGCACATCAATGAGATCTACTATAGCTCCTGATAACTGCATTATATTTCGTAGCTGTTGTAGCCAATCAGAATTTTCAATCATTCTAAATCAATAAGATAATACAAGTTAATAATTTAATGTAAATAACTTTAGATAATAAGTAATACCCTTCAATATGCCATTAATATATTATCACGGAAATAAATCTTTTAAATATTTAAGTATAAAAATATAAACTAATTTTGATATTCTTGAGGATATATTTTATACGTAAACAATATTGCATTTATAAATATGTTAATAAATTGTTTAAATAAATGTTAATTAAATAATAATTATTTTTTAATTTATATAAAATACATCATTATAATTATTTTACTATATGATTAATATATATTAAATTTAAAAAAAGTTATAAGTAATAAGTTAAATTCGTACTAACTTGTAAAAAGAATGCTCTGGTTCATTACTAGTAGAACTTGGTACACATGCTCGCATAAGTTTTTTAAAAGAAGTCTTGCTATGACGAATATCAGCATATTCAATTGGGATAAAATCAATTTTCATAATAGAATCACCTTTCATACCCTTATAATATAATTATAGAAAGAAAAATGATAAAAAAAAAATATACTGTTTTAATTTTTGATTAAATTACCTTCATTTGAGTTTTATCACCAAGTATGTATAATGCAGCTCTATGAAATTCATGTGGACTATCTGAATTTGAATCTGGATCGGCTATAGACATACGGCCATATTGTTGATTTTGGAACATTGGAGAAGAGTAACTATTATTTGACGAAGAACTAATATTACGACGTTCTTTTAATGAGCCCCAGCGTCCAAATTGTTTATTACCACCACTTGATCTTGTAGGACCTCTATTATTTACCAAAATATATATGTTACAAGTTATTCTTTAATTGTTTGGAAAAATAAATTTAGCATACAAAATGATTCAATTGGTAAAGTATAATGTATTCAGTATACAGTAATAAATTTAAATATTTTAAATACCTCCTTGAAACATCTGGTGATAAAATATCTTCATCTGCAGCCATAAGAAGAGAATTAATACTAAGGCTGCTATCTGATAATCCCCATGCAGCACCACTATGACGTAGAGTTGATAAAGGTGTTGAAGCAACAATAGCTGATAAATATCTTTCTTGTTCTACAGAAGAGCTACTTTCTGAATTTAATGTACCTAGAAATTATTAAACACATAATAAAACTAGTATAGGTTAAACTTTTATTAAATTAAATGTTCTAAAATATACCAGTAGATGATGGATGTGTTGATTTTAACATTCCAATAAGATTTTTGCCATGATATCCTGCTCCACGTAATAATAGTGCAGATGTTTGTTGGTGACGCCAAGTAATAATAGGAACTCTGCTATGACGATAATTTCGATAAAACTTTCTAATGCCATCATCAGATGTAATTGATGGAACTACCCAGAGTGCAGGATAACTAAAATTTCAAAGTAAATTAAAACTTAAATATTTTAAAAATGTATATATGATGAAATATATTAAAGATAAAATAATATTTACCTTCGACACATTAAGTATGCTGAATTAAGAGTAGTAATTTTAAATGTTTCTTTATTGTTATTTTTTTGACCAATATTAGAAGAACTAGTATTTTTTGGAGCAAGACCAAGCCGAATCCAATCTCTTACATAACTCCTTTCTGTAACTCGTTCTAATGTTTTTGGATCAGAAACATTAGAAACAATATTGGGAGAATTCATTGAGTTGATATCCATATCATTCACTATACAAAATTAAAACTAGTAATTATGACTGATCAATAATATAATCCTCAAACAAGAATGATATCTAAGGATAGGGTTAGTTAATGATTTTGATGCAGATAAGTATTAAACAACAATATTAAGAACCTATAAATTAAAGTTAGCTAACTAAGAGGCTTAATATTTAAATATGTTAACTTTAAAAAAGTAATTTAATTACAATTTTATCATGATAAGAGTTTAACTTACCAGATATGTCATCCAGATTATTAAAGGGAGGAAGACTCATCCGACCAGGTGTAGTCAAATATTTGTTTCCTTTATTTATTGAATTATTTGATATATTTGGTAAAACATACTTATGACGTTTAGATGAACTTTTCTGTTTAAAACCGGCTTTTCTAGCAGTTTTCATTAATGTTTTTTTTGCAAATCCCCTGTTCAAAATAAAAAAAATAATACATCATTCAAACTAAAATCATAGAAATTTTAATCAAGACTCACTTAAGAGTAGCATTTTTTTCTTTATCATTTGTCATGGGCATTTCATAAATAGGAATTTGACCAGTAAATGCAAAATGATTAAATACATTTGGTGGATGTCGTACTTTATGTATAAACTTTCTGAAACATTCAATATCTTCTGCATTCACTTCTTCATCAAATGCCACTTTGATTAACTAAAACACACATAAGTTACAACATGGTAATAATAAATAACAATAATAATAATATAAAAAAATTATAAAAAATTAATTCTTACCTGAAATGTACAGGATCTAAACTGGTGACCTTCTTGTAGCCATTGATCTAAATGTGCCAAATATTGAACTGTAATACGTTTTTCTTTGGTTAATGAAGTTACAGGGAATGATCTAACTACAATTTGTTCACAAGCAAAAGGATCTAAAGGAGTTCCTTTAAATACAATACGATAATTTGTAATAAAAATTGCTCCTTCTGCTGGCAATAAAGGTGGTCCACCAACTAATCCTCCTAGACCTTCTTCTCTTCCATCTGGTAACAAATATACTCTTAAACCATCCATCAAAGGTTCTTCTCCCGGTAGCATATTTGGTGTCAATATTTTAGGCTTAATATTTAAAATAATTTTGAAGAATTAAAATGTGTTTGTTTTTATAAGTTAAAAATATATTGCTTATTAATACTTTTTGTATAGGTGGCAATCTCTTGGACTCCCTATTGACACCATCTAATGTTTCAATATGTATATGTACCACACCAGGAATCATTTGATGTAAAGAACGAATGTGTTCTTCTCTGACTTCTCCTTCAGTACAAACTTTGTCAACAAAACGGCTTACCATTTTAATAACTTTGTTACCAATTTCATTAGGTTCGGGTTCAACAAAACCACTTTCAACATCAGATTCACAGGCACTACCAGATCTATCAACAGCACTAAAAAATAAATAAAAAATTGAACGAATTGATAACAATAGAAAATGTTTATAAAATATACCTATTAGTTATACTATTAGATGTTCTTTCGTCATCTATATTTTTATTAGTTGATTGATGATTTGATGAGCTCTTAACATTATTCCCACCAACATCTAATGGAACAAGTAAATACACCATACGATTTGCATAATGTATAGCTTGACTGTATAATGTCGATTCTTCACTTGATATATATTCTTTAAGTTTATCTGAGCAAAAACATTAATTCATTAAATAAAAAAAAAAAAATTATATAAATGTTATTACCAGAATTGTTTGATGGGCGTAATCTCATTTGTTCAGCTGCTATTTCTAAAGCAGAAAGCTCTTGTGAACGACTAAATCTGTCATTTAAGATATGATCCTTATTCTAGAATGTATGCACAAGCAAATACGATTAAAGTTAATAAACAAATTAAAAAACTAAAGTACTATATTGTTAAATTACATGGTTTTCACGGGGGCTAGATAAATTCATTGATGAAGACTTTTTATGACTTGAGAAATTATTGTCAGAATATAAAGATTTTATGTCTCGTTGTACATCTAAATAATAAGCAGATTCCCAAAATAATTGATTTTTCCAAACTGCATGATCCTATGACATAAATTTATGACCAATTATATCTAATTTAAATATAAATAATAAATAAATATTTACTTGAATACATGTGTATGCAAATTGTATAACTCCAGTGCACAATTTACGGCAAAAGGCAGTAGCTAAAGGTAAAAGAGCAGCTGCTACACCAAATTCGTCCATAGCTGAACCATCCTAATATTGAAATAAGATTTTTTTTTTTTTTTTTAAGTAATTATTCATCTTGAATTTAAATGAAACATAATATTTGACATAAAACTTTGATTTTTATTTTATGATACTTTTAATTTAACAATATCAGAAAAATTAGTAATAAATATAAAAATTTAACCACAAATATTTATTGAATTTAATGAATTAATTCTTTACTATTGTTTTTACATAAAAATTTATTAACAATATTTAATTTGTATGAATGAAATAACGTAAATTCATTTAATTAATCCATTTAAATGACAATTTCACAAGTACATTAAAAATAATAGTCATAAAATACCTGTAAAGCACAATTCATCAACCGCACAACTAGATCAAATTGTTGATGCTCGAGCATAGCTTTATTTCCTTGAACATGCTGTGCAAGTTCAGTACATAAAGCTAGCCTAGCAGCTCGACATTTTAGAGCTCTTAACACAGCAGGAAATGTTTTACGTGCATCCGAAATTTTATTATCAAAAATACAATTTATACAATTACGCAATACCTGCAATTAAAAATTAAATTTTAATATATAATTTAATATACTTATTTGAGCATATAACAACTATATAAAGCATATAAAAACATACTTCTAATCTTCTAGCTGAATTACTAACTGTTGTTCTTAGATCATTAGAATTTGTTATTGGAGGTCCCATAGGTACTATTCGAGGGGGCATTGGTTTTATTGAAGTTAGCCTATTATAGTATTTAATAATAATAAATAAATATAATTTTAAATAATAACTGTTAAATATTTTACTTTGAATTTAAATTGTTTTTAACTAAACCATCATCAATAATTGTTTGAACACGACTGGCTTCAAGTATTGGAAACGGAGGTTGATGAATTCTAGTAAATGCTCCTTCGGGAGGTTTCAATATTTTTTGAACATATGGTTGAGGATTGGGATTTTCATTTAAGTACAATGCTTGAGCTAATTCCTAGAAAAAATTAATAAATAATAACAAAAATTCATGGAATTAATTTGAAAATATTTAAAAATAATAATAGAAAACAATACACTTATTTCATTAATAAAAATTTAAAAAAATATTATCAAAATTATCAATAAGTTTCATTAACAAGCTTAAATACAGTGAGTTCCTTATGAGATGGTTAATTGGAATAAAAAGAAATTATATCTAATGTTTTAAAAATGGAATTGTTTTTTTTATTAAAATTACTAGACCAGACAATAGAATCACTTTTATGGCTTTTTAAAGTTTAGAATGTCTGATATACAAATGTATGATTTAATTAATCAGTGTATCATCATATATATCACCATAGATAACATAAAATGTATATTGTTATCTGTGGTGGGACATTGTTTAGTTTAATTATTGTATTTATAATTTGAGTTTAAATATATTTCTAATGTGTTGAAAAAACAATAAGTTGAATTAATAAAATTAAAATAAATTAGTTCCATAGCAAATATTAAATAACATATTAAAAAAATCATAAGTGAATTCAAGTTCAAAATGTTTTCACAAAAACATAGTTTGGACAAAATATTGATATTGAAGAACGTTTATTACAATAGTTTTATAATATATATTTTTACTGGTTTTAATTTAAGGTTAATATGAAAAAATAAAATAGAAAATTTAGATCCAGTTCAGAATCTGTAGTTTATAAAATACCTTTTATTCTAATTTTAAGTATAACATAAAAAAAAAAGATTGTTTAAGAAGTGTTTTATGGAATCAATTGGCTAATAAAATCAAAACTAACATGCATCAATGTTTAATAATGTGATCACATTAAGAACTCAATGTATAAAAATGTATTTAATAATGAAAACTTACAAAACTGAATTTTTTCTAATCATGAATATTTATAATATGGCAGGAATTGCTTCTAATATTATTTACATTTGTATTATAATATTTTTCTGAAATGTATTATTGTCGCTATATATAATGTGGATAGTAAATAATAAATAATAAAGTAAACACCATACTTGTATATGAGTAAGAACTAAACGACCATCATCTAATGCTTCACTCCTAAGTAGTTCATTCATATTGCAATATAATTCATCCCATTGATCACAAGAACGCCAAGCTGGACCTCTTTCCGTAACAAAACCATTAAAAAACATACAGTCCAACACTCTAGTTGTAAATTCATCATCCATTAAACATCTCTCTCCTAAAAATGCAGCCTAAAAATTAATTATTGTGTTTAATTAATGTTTTACTTTTAAATTATATTAATTTTTAAATAATATTTGTTTACTTTATGAAATGTAATAACTGGTTTAGGGTGTATTCTTATAATTGTTAAACAAGATCGATAACCTTGAAGTAATTGAGCAAATGTTCTCATAAAGACTGCTCTCACTTCTTTATCAATAAGTGTAGGAGGTGGAGGTTGAACAGTATTAGAAGTTGGAGGAAATGCATGATCAGCACAACACAATTCTGGTTGTAGCACTAGACTTAAACAATCTTGAGTTTGTGTTAATAGAGGTTCTGGTAGTAAAGGCAGACTTATACCATCAGGTACAGTTATACTACCTCCATCCAAATCAGCTACAATTACATCCATCTACAAATCATAATTTAAATTTATAGTTATTGTTATAATTTAAAATTACAGTGTATGAATACTTGTTCTGAAACATCAGTTTTAAGAGAAGCATGCACGCCCATTAAAAATGGAGTGGGAGTGGATAAGACTTCCACTAAACCAGCCGGTAACAATGGTATATACACATGGCTATATTTGAATGGGTACATAAGAGATATTAGAGCAGCACAACCTTCAGTGAGTCTACTATAACTTCTTGAAGTCATCAGAACTTTGTGTTCGGTCATAATTGCACAGAATAATACAACAACATTATGAATTCCTAAACATATATAATATCATGTTATATTAGTCAAGTAAGATTCAAATTAATATTATAATTTTACTAGAAATAAAAATAAATGTACCAAGTTCTTGAAATAATAAATAAACTATATTTTTGGATACTGGTAATGTTTGAGATAAAGGAGGTTGTAATGCTTGTCTATCTCCGGCACCAATGCTAAAGCGTACTTGAGGACCTCCTGGCTGAGGAACTTGAACACAGCCCAACATATTTCCTACTAATGTTTCAATAGGAGTTTCCACATTTTCCATGTAGACTGTATAAATAATACCTAAACAATTCTGAAAAAAATTTCATTAAAATAAAAAAAATAAAATGTATGTAAATATTATTTCTTACTCGGAATGTTTCTATATAATCCAATCTTGAAACCAAAACTAAACACTTTGGTGCATACATAATGCTATGATGTTGTCTTTGATTTGTATGATTGTTTCTTGAAAGTGCTATATTTTCTATAACACCATCTTCTTCCTACATATATATACAAATATAAATAAAATTGTATTCTAAGACACAATTTTTGTTTCTTTTAAAACTAATTCTAACATATATATATATATATATTTAATAAATAAAAATAAAAATAATTTATATATATAATTAAAATGTTTATTCATAAGACAACTCATAAATAGTCAAGATATTATCACGATAATAAGCATAAATAATCTTGATTTTAATTTTTCATACCTTTCTTTTGATTTAAATACTTTCTTAGAAAATAAAGAATTTATAATTATTGATATTATTATTAGGAGAAACTAGTATTTAAAAAATAAAAGGACCCTTAATGAATAATACTGTATATAATATTATATTGAAGATAATTTTTAGTAGTATACAACAAATATAATAGTATGTAAATGCTTAATAATTAGAAGTAATAAATGGGTACCTTCTTCATCAACAGGTTTACTTGGTGTAATTGATACTGTTTCATTAAAGCACAAACAAGCACAATAATGTCTTTCAGCCTCTACATCAGTTAGAACAAACACAAAAAATCTAGGTTCTTGTCGCTCAGAAGAAAGAGACCATCCTTGCGGTTGACAAAACTAGAATAATACAATATTTTAAAAACACAAATTTATAAATAAGCTTATAATTTTTTATAAATAAAAGGGAATATAAAAAATGAAATGTTTAAAGATTTTAAATGCAATTAGTCATTTTTACAATTATATTATCAATGGATAATTAGAAATAGTTTTGCACTTATTTTATTTAAGTTTCCAAAACAAGAAAAGTTTAAGTCATTGAATTATTGCAACTGTTCATTTTAGTAAATATTTAAAATAAAAGATAAAGAAAGATAAAGAAGAAATTAAAATTAAACAGTTTAAACATATATTAAAATATCAACACCTTTTTTTTTTTTTTTGTAAAAATGTAAGTGTAAAACAATTAAGGGAAGTAATGTTAAAGCCATTCCTTCTCACTATGTGGTTCAAACAAAACAAAAAAATAAAAAATATTAAAAATAATTAATATTTCATAAAGATCATATGAGTGATAAACTAAAATGAAAAACTATACAAAATGTGTTATAAACAAGTGCTCAAATAAAAAAATGTCAATTCTTTTCAATAAATTGATAATAGATTCATAATAATTACCCATTCAATTCCATCAATGAATGGTGTATCTTTCCAGTCTTTTTCTGGAAACCGTTGTATAATTATTCCTTTACTAGTTCCACTTCCTAATGAGAAAATACAATTTATAAAAATTAAAAACTTAAATTGTAGTGGGGTATCTTATAAGTTAGTTGTTAATTTAATTGTAACAAAATATATTTAAAGAACATTTTTATAGAAATAATAGAATTTCCTTAAGAGTATCATCGAATAAATATCTGAATTATTATTAGACAAAGGTAAACATGATCATTAATTAATTAAGTAAACGTTTTACAGAAGGATTTCTTACGTTCTTTTTCGTGATCGTATCCAACGACCACGAAATAGTCTGCTAGCCGAGACATATCCGTCTGATCTTATAACAAATATTTACACATCAAAAAGGAACAATAACATAAATTGATATAATATTAGCCACATATTAGTGTTAAATAATAGTCAAAGTAGATAAAAAATAATTAATTTTTTTCTTTCAAACATTTAATTTTTTTCCGGATTCCGTCGTACAGAATGATACGCGTAGGGGAACTCCCAGATAAGATAAAGATGGCGACTTGACGTTAACAAGACAGTGCGAGCGACCTAGCGGACAAATTCAATAACTTCTACCAATATCATTATAAGTTCATTATCAAATGCAATAATAACAAAATAAATATCAGTGCAATCTCAAAAAATTATCTCCATTAATGTGCTGTTGTGTGACCTAAATAGTTTTTCCAATATTATCCTGTGGCAGCAGAATTTGAAAAAATGGACGTAGATAATGACCCGTTGGACCAGAACCTTTTGCGCCAGTTCAATTGTATGTGTACGACGGACAAAGAAAATCTGGTTAAAGGTCTGCGAGAATTAATCGGTGATCAGCTTACAGAATCTGCAGCAGTTTTTTTCTTAGAAATGAATGACTGGTAATTAAATAATAAATAATCACGTACGATGACATATATTTAAAATTTTAATGTGTGTGTGCTATAGGAATATGCATAGAGCTGTTGGGACATATTTTGACGTTAACTCTGAAGGTGCACTCCCATCTATGTCTTTGGTAAGAGATGAAAATAGTGAAAATGTCCTACAGTTGCCACCAAATCTTAGGTAATATATTAATGGTACTAAATATAACTCTTAATGTATTTATATACGTTTTTATTTGTACAAAAATTATTTTAATAGCATTAACATTTGTGTTTAAACTGTAGATTCACCAAATGTTGGGAAGTAAAGAATAATGGTCGAATTGCCTGGCCACCAGGATGTACTCTTCAGTTTAATGGAGGCGATTTTATTTCTGTCTATACTTCATTGCCTACTACTACACTTGAACCCGGATGTACTATGACTTTATGCACTGATTTTGTAACACCATCTAAGCCTGGTTCATATCAATCTAAATGGCGTATGATGTTACCAACCGGGACATATTTTGGAGGTAAATAAATGTATTTATTTATTTATACATTAAATGCTTCATCATTTCTATGAATTTTTTTTAGCTATCATGATTAAGTTAAAACAAATAAAAAATTCAAAATAATATTCCCTTAGGGATTAAATTCTTAATCAAAACTATTTTTAACTATGAAAGTTATGATTTATCAATTGTTATTCTCCAGTGCTTGAAGAAAATATACCACTTAAAAGAAGTAGTAAAATTTAATTAAAATTACAGTACAGTACTAATTGATATTATTGTTGTCATAAACCGAAAATATAAATATAAAAATAAAATATTATAACAGGGAGGTGAGAGAATAGGGTGTAGTGGGTTGATTACCTTCTTCATTGTTTAAGAGAAAGCTCTCAGTTACAAAGGTTCGAAAGCCGATGAGTAAAACTAGACAGTCTGGCAAGCCAAATGAAAGAGCACTTACTTGTTCCATAGTAGGTATTCGGGTTCTGAAGAGCTGGACACTTATAACTATCATAAGAGTATAATGAGTTTGAAATAAAGTTAGACAGACACAAAATTTGATGAATTAAAGCTGGACACTTTTCAACATTTGCACAAAAAACTCAAATTAAAAAATGAATTTAAAAGTGAAATAGTCACCACGTAATAATCATTTGTCACTAAAGCTCCTTGATTAATCAATCTGTTGATGCGCACATACTGATGACCCTAAGATTAAGTGCCCCTTATACATCCACTGGTGGCCTATGGACAAAAGTGCTGGGAGAGGGTTATGTGTCCCTGTTATATTGGGACATATGACGGGATGGACCTTGGATAGATGTTTTGAAAGTTAAACCTATTTAATTTTTCAATAGGTTATTCTTGTTAGGCCTCTATTATTTAAATTGTGTTATCTGTGTGGGTATTGAAAGAACCATTATTTATTGTTTTTTACATGTTCGTAGTAAACATCACTATAATTTATTTTTGACATAATATATAATTGAATGATGCATGTTAAATACATTACATTTTTTTTAAATATCCTGTAAGTATAGTATTTATTGTTAATATCTATTTAAGAACTCTTTGTGCCTATGTTCATTCAAATTTATAATGTATACATTATATTTAAATAATTTAACAATGATCCACGCATATATTGGTTTTAATTTTTTAGGTCAAATTTGTAAAAAAATTGTTTAATAATTATTTAACCCATTACAGATATTATTTGGACACTAGTGCAAGTAGAAGATAATGATTCATTTCAAAATGAACTATCTAGACAATTGGTAGAAAGCATTAATTTGGGTTCATCTGAAATGCAAAATCAACCTGATGTCATTAATCCATTTACACCACAACCAAACCAACCACCAAACCAAGTAAGTTGTAATAAAGTATTACTAATCATTAAAAATTAAATTTAGCAACTGCATTTTTATTTTTTTTAAAAAAAATACTTAGTGTGTTAGAATATTAATTTTTTTACAAATGTCATTATTTTAAGATTAATTGAATTCTTAGTTATTAATGAGATTATTATTTATTGATTAGCTCTTTATCATGTGTGATTTTTTTTAAGGACACTGATCAATCTCAAAACAATATGGAAAGTGATTTATTGTGATTTTGGAATTGACTCATTTGATTGTTGAACATTGGAAAATTATCATATTTTTAATTTTGTTACAAACATTATTTTAATAAAAATTAGTTTTAAATTAACTGAAAATTACATAGATATAATTGACAGGTTAAAATAAAATTGAAAGTGTGAAAATTAATATTAAGAATTTAATTAAAATATATATATATATATATATTTTCTATTATTGAATTCATTGGAAAATCCAAGTTAAATTATGTCATGATCAGGTGTCTGTTATATAAATTGTACAGTTTATATTTAAATGTTTTATCATGACCATATATATTTTTTGTTACATAACTAAATAACTAGTTCTGTAAGTATAACTAGTTTTATTGAAATATAATAAGACATTTTACAAAAACTTTTTTTTTTTTTTTTATGGTCAATCAAATACAATTTGCATTTTTGATGTGTATATTGAATTTACAAATATCTTAAATAAAAAGAATATGTTGGATTTACTTTTGTATCTTAAACAAAATAATGCCATGTTGCCATAATTTATATTGCTCAAAGGCTTATTGTTATACATCATTTAGACATAAGATGTATGAAATGAATGTTAAATTTACATTAACAGGTCTACGTTACTTAAATATTGTTTGCATGTATACACCATTACTTAATATAAAATATTTTATTAAAATTTGTTCACTTCATATATTCACACTTAATCCTGCTTTTCATACAGCCATTTCCATGGGTATTTTTGGATATGGGTTGTAACCATTTAATGAAAAGTCATTGTATTTAAAATCATCTATACTGTTAACCTTTCTATTAAAGGTTAATTTTGGGAATGGCCTAGGTTTTCTTTGAAGTTGGATATTAAGAGCATCGATATGGTTAAGATAAATATGGCTATCGCCCAATGTATGAATGAATTCACCAGGCTAAAAATAAAAAAAAATAAAAAAATTGAATTATTAATAATTCTATATTATTATATAGTTACTAAGTAAAACAAATTCAAGATCCTTGGTTTATTAAAAAATATTTTTTCTTTCTATGGTGCTAATAACAACTTTAAGCTATTCATGTAATTAATTTCCTATACAATTTACATACATAATCTATTCATTCTTTTAATGTTTTAAAACATAAAAATGTTTAAAAATAACTTTCAACTAATAAATGTTTTCTCTGTATAATAGAACTTTACTTTAAATTGAAAGATAAAATAATGAAAATAAACCACTGCTAGAATTATATATTATCAAAAAATACTATCTATATAATAAAATCAATCAAATTGTAATATTATGATACTTACTTTTAAATCAGTGACATGTGCTATCATATAAGTGAGTAATGAATAACTAGCAATATTAAATGGTACTCCAAGACCCATATCTGCTGATCTTTGGTACATTTGACATGACAGATATCCATCAGCTACAAAAAATTGTACTAGACAGTGACATGGTGGTAAAGCCATTTTAGGTACATCACATGGGTTCCAAGCGATCATCAGCATTCGCCTATCATCTGGGTTAGTTTTAATTGTATCAATGACTCTTTGAAGTTGATCAATACCTTTTCCTGAGTAATCTGTTCGTACATTAACATACTCAGCTCCATAATGTCTCCACTGAAATCCATAAACAGGTCCCAAATCACCTGAATAAAATATTTTTATAATATAAACTATAAATTTAAATTGAATATAGAAGAAAATTATAAAAAAGTTTTTCAGTTCTATATTTGCAAAAAATTTAAGTATATATGAATTATTTAATTATTTAAAACTGAAATTAAAAATATCTATTTATTCACTTCCAGAAATATAACCACAATTTGTTCTATAACTATGACTATTCTTAAACTCAATGGTCATATTCATTACAAGAAAAATTGTTTCGTAAAATGTTGTTGGTTATAATTAGGGCTCAGAAGTTGATACATTACATTGATTTACATTTTTTTTTTTGGAACTTTTTATACAATGTTCTGGCCACAAATGTGTTTCATTAGCAGGTAAATCCGAATAACTAATTTTTATTTTGCATTTTTTTTTGCTGTTTATTACTTTTTATGTCATTTTTTGACATTTTTATTTATTTTTACTCATTTCACACTAGTTCACTAGTTATCGTTTCTTGAAAAAAATTTTTTTTTTTGTCAAACATTATATCGATAACTTAAGACTTGTCCAATTTTATCTTGCAGATTACATTCATAGTAATGGCATTCATAAGCGTGCACACGGGGTAGTCAGGGTAGGTACTTGACTATTCTGTGAAACTTCCCACCCTCACCAAAATATTCAATATGATCACAATAATAAATAAACATATTATTTTCAACCACTTCGAAACATTAGTTAACGTTAAAAAAAATGTAAGAATACTGGAGAAATATAGTTTTTAAGTTAAATGAAGTTACGAATGCAAATTTTTTGTTAATATTAAATGATAATGTGTTATGTTTGACTACCCTGCCAGTTATGTCTGCACACGCTTATGATGGCATTGTAGTGAATATTATAATAACTAAATTTTATTATTTTTTCTAATTTTCGATTAGTATTCGATTTTATCTCATCGATTACAGTCATCGCCTCATTGTCATGTTATAGTGAATAATATCTATTATATCTAAATTTTATTATTTATTTGTAATATTTTCAAAATGACGAAAATTAAAATGTCAGTTAGTGCTTGTCTGTGCCTTCCAATCACTTCAATGGACGTGGAGAGAAGTGTCTCTAAATATAAATATTTATAAACAGATAATTGTCGTTCATTTACTTTTGATAACATCACATACAACTATTACCTATTAAGTTATATTTTGAGTAATTTGTAAGTTTTAATAAATTTATATAGAACATCACAATAAAATAGAGTAAAATAATTTTAAAAAATGTATTTTTATTAATTTAAAACAAATATTTGTAAATTTTTTAGGTTTTTTTTTTATGTCATATTTGCATCTTTTTTAAGATCATTTTTTAATGTTTTTAATGTCATAAACTTCCGAGCCCTAGTTATAACTATATATTTTCAAATTACCTTCTTCGCGATTAATAAGTCCAATGGAATCTAAGTATGAACGTGTACTGTTTGCATCCCAAATTTTAACATCTTTTTCAGACAGATCTTTAGAATTGGTAGAACCTTTAATGAACCATAATAATTCTTCAACAACACCACGCCAAAACACACGTTTTGTTGTTAATAAGGGGAAAACACCTAAAGTAAATTAATATACAATAGTAATCAATTTATGTTAATTATCAATTTTTACCATTCTTCAAATCATATCGCATCTGAACACCAAACAATGAAAGTGTTCCTACTTTGGTTCTATCCATTTTTTTATGTCCATTTTCTAAAATTTTTTTTATATGATCCAAGTACTGCTGTTCATCTTTATTTTCCAAATTTTCTTGACTGTCAATCTATATGAAAGATAGAAAATAGTTAAATTTGATCCAATACATTTATACTTGTAATAATAAAAATAATAATTATATTACCATTTTTCGACATTAAATTAAAGAAAATATGGAATTAAAAATCAAATAACATTTAAATTATATAAGAATTTTTAATAAGAACAATAATTATAAATTTGAATTCTAATGAAAAACGTCTAATCAAAGAATAATTTAACTTGTGAACAGACGATAACAACGTGACACTCTACGATAGATAACAAAACCAGAACTGTCGGTTGTCTCTATAGAACCAAAGATTATGATGGACAATGTTTACAGTCCCAAAAAAAAAATTATATTCAAGAATTTTTTCTTGCAAACATTTAGTAGGTACGTTATTTGCAAACATTTATTTTGCTGTATATGTTTCAGAATTAATTCGAAATTATTATTTATGTAATTCGTGGTGAAAAAAGGTGATATTTATACGTTATTTTAATTTTAACTACTGTTAATTTTAACTTAAATTTGTGCAAGAATTATAAATTAAAGCAAAAACGTAAACAAATATGTTATTTATTTCGCTAAAATAAATGGATCTATTGAAATTAATGAAATGTATTAATAATTAATTACAAATTTAATTCTTAATTGAGTTAATTTAGTTATTAAATAAATTAACGTATAAATTCTTCAAATAATTGTCTAAACCTATTAATTCAATGTGGAATATGCTATAAGTTATAATTCTTGCACAAATTTAAGTGAAAATGAATAGTAATTAAAATTGTAATAACGTGTAAATATCACCTTAATAAATAAAGGTAAAAATTTCAAATCTGAATAACCCTAGAACAATTATTTTCAGAATTACAGTAAAAATACTGAAAATCCCGCACATTTTATCATTATTTTTTTAAATTACCATAGACATAATATTATGTCTATGTAAATTACTGTAACTTGGTGAATTTTGGACTACGAAAGTTTATTAAGCTACCAAAATTCATTAAAAAAATAGGGAAAATAATTAGTGGTTATAATAGGTGGTTGCCACATAAAAGTTATTGTTAAATAATATAAAGTTATTATGTGCGCATGCACAAAATTAACTGTCTCAAAAGTAGTCTAATTATTTAAAAATGTGTATAATAATGTTAGGTTTGGTCAGTTTCCGCCGTTTTTTACTTGTTATCGACGACCATCGTTATTGGCGTTTCTATCGAATCGAAATATTTTCATTCACGTACCCCTACATTTAAAATACCTCTACCAAAAATGACACTAATTTAAAAAATTTTTTTTTGATTTTTGCCTTTACTTACACTATAACTATATAACTTTGAGTCAAATTCCAAGTTTCTACCTCTTTAACTTCACAATACTAGGCATTTTAAAGGTCCTGGCACAATTTGCGTTTTAAATGCCTTGTGGAATCACCTGGGATGTTGCTAACATATAAGTTTGGAACAAGGGATTGTGGTGGTTCGATAGGTTTGAGTGGAAGTAGGTTATATATATACACGAATGTCATAACATTATTTATAAAGTAGTTCTTATAAATATAAAAGGCAATTGTAATATTTACTCTGAATGCTTATATTTTTTTTCTCGTGTCAGGCATCATATATTTAAAATGAAATAAACATGTAATTTATAAAACAAAATAAAACTAAATAAATATTATCAAGTAAGTAAAATATGAATAATAATAGGTAACACACTAATATCATCGTTACGAGTATAGTAATATACATTGCATATTAGCTATATATTTTATTTTGTCCAGTATATAGCTGTATTTACCGCTTTCTGGTTGCTTATCATAAGATCCTCTTGTATACATGGGCTTGGCTCTCGTGGGCAAACAAGTAGGTGTTACGTTGTCTGCTCTTGTCCACATTTGCAAGTTATGTCTTGATCTCTATATCCCTATTTTCTCATATTTTCTTTTGTCCGTCCTATATGTATTATGCCTATATGTATATACCGACTATTTAAAAGTTGTAGGTATATACACACATTATAATTTATTAAACAAATTATTACAATGAACATTAATTATATATTTTTATATTTAATTATTATTACATAATATTATTTGCGATACCAATCAAACCGGTATGAAAATTAAAATACACCAAACAACGCAATATAACTACAAATTATATGAAACATAATAGGTTTATGTTATACTATGTGTTTTACTCAGAGCGTTATATTTTTCATGAAATCTTTTTTTCTTAAAAAATATATTTCAAATAATTTCACGCTAACCTCAATAAATGTTTGCGGCACCCTGGCTGGGAACCTCTGCCATAAGGCGTTATGGGTAATTAAGACGCCACTGTTTCTATGCATAGATATTGCTGATGCAGTACCTAATTTAGATGGGTACAATGGCACTAGGATGTATAAGTTATAGCAATTTAGATTTTGGATATAAGACCTTTTCTAAATTATAGTTATAACTAGGGCTAGGGACTTCATGCTCTTAAAAACCTTAAAATATGTATGCATTTATGCCCTAAAGAATCAATAAATATGCTATTAAAATATGTATTTAAAAAGATTATATTTGTCATAATTAATTAAATAAAAAAATTTAACTAGTAATAAATTATAATATTTTTATATATGATAGATATGATGATCTGAGATAATTTTTTCTTTTTTTCATCTTATTTTGAATTTTTATCTACAACAAAATACTTAATATGGTTTTAAAAATAAATTAAATTGAAAACATTTTTTTTTATTTTTAATGTAGTTATAATTCTTCTAACTTTGAGAATTACATTGGAATACAAGATATTTTCTTAAGTTGGAAAATTTAAATGACTGCCTGTTATCAGCCAAAATAATATTATATTTAGAAAAGGAGCGTTACACGTCTACGGAACTTATTGGTGCAAACTTAAAAAATCGTAGGCAACTACTACTAATATCTGTAGGCAATCCATCCATAGAATCATTTTTCTATTTAAAATGTTCGATATTTTTTTGTAGTTAGCCTTAGCTTGTGCAGATTTTTCAATATTTGCAGAATGTATACGTTTTTTGTAGTTTTAATTATTTTAATGCATTCAGTTAGTGCACCTATTGGACACCTTGAGTTCCAAGTCACGTGATATATGAAGAAATAAATCATAATTTTTTTTTATAAAATTTAAAAACTTACTCCTTCATATGAATAATTGTCAAATATGCATTTATAAAATGAAAAATAGTCAAATATGCAAAATATGCAACTATAAATTTTAAATATAAACTTGTATTGCTATGAAACAAATTTATATATTACTTAGCTATGTTTTTGATAATTATTTAAAAACATGCAAGTTCCTAGAAGTCCCAAGCCCTAGTTATAACTTAATATACTCAACATTTATTGCAATTATTCTTTTAATTATATGTAATATCTCAAAAAAACATACATCGGCGCCATTGTTGTTATACACAATCTGTTCGCGTAATTACGTCGCCGATTATTGCGAACCAAGTATAATAGGTTAAGCGAACCGTAGAATCATAATGACTAATAAGGTAAGAATCTGCTGATCTAATAATAATTGTTATAGTTTTCAGAACGATGGCCAACGGTTATCGATAATTCAACAGTTAACGAATGCCGTGCACTCACGTGTGCTGTTTAGATTTTTTTTCAAACCACGGCCTTAGAATCTATTTTAAGACCGTGGTTTGGTCACACAAACATTTAATTATAAAATAAAATAATACATGATAATTAATGAATAAATTAACAAGACCTTGCACTAGATAAGATATATTTCCATATTACACAGTGCTGGCCCGACGGTTTTCGGGGCCCGGTGCAGAATTTTGAGGGGCCCCATACAAATATATTAATTTATTAATTTATTAATTGTTTATATAAATCTATATTTTTTTGTATTATTATTATTATTTCGAACTGTCGTCGACGATAAACAATTTTACAAGTACATGTGCGTATAATACTTCAAAGCAATGCGTAATTGGTACCATCTTAATTTTCATCGATCACAATCCGTTTACTGAGAAGACCGCACGACCACGCGGGTGGCGATTTGCGTACTAGGACTATATTATTTTTATTTACAAATAAAGTAATAATCGTAATATATAATTTGTGGGGCCCCAAGGACGTATTTAGATTTTTTTTTTTTTGGGAGGGGGCTATGGTATTTTCTCCAACTGTAATTCCCCAATTCAGCCTATTAAAAACAAAAGTTGGAAAATTATCAGTCATGACTAATTGTTTTAAAGCAAAAACGTTTTGGCCATGTTTTATCAGTGTGCGTATGCAATGTAATTTTCTGTTCTACTTTTAACAAAACTGCGTTAAGGTACACACATAGAGGAAATCCTCATGGCCCGGTCTCAAGGAAAGGCAACACGCCAGAGAATTACTTGAAGATTTTGTCATTTTCAATGGAACTACTGCCTACGCGTACTATAATTTTTCGTGGCCGCATTATTAAGTACTCTCCTTTAAATAATATAATATCTGTATGTTATAACTAGAGGTCGGATTTATATTATTTTAACATTCTTAAAATTTGATGTTTTTATGTCCTTAAATATGCAAAATATTCTTTTAATAATAAAAAAAAAAAATCAGTTTAAATTTATTTTATTAATTTATTAATTTTATTATTTTGGTTTTAAATATATTTAATTTAATTAATTTTACAATAACAATTAATTACTATATATTGTTCAATGTGTTCCGGTGTCATTTTAGTACATTGGTTTGTAAGAATATTTTTTTATATGCTGAAGGTTAGTATTTGCAATATACAACTTACATCTTCTTATAATTTTTGTATTGCAAAAATAACTTTATTCTTAGATAATACAAGGGTTGTATCAGCTGTATCAACCAAAGTAATTATAAAACATTCATGTGAAACTAAAGATGTTAGTAATACCTTTAGAATATTAATGTATATTCTTGATAAACAAACTCATAGTATGAACGACTGGCAGTTGATAATAGTAGTTTTTAAGTAATTTTGAAAAAATTAAAATTTTAAATAAAATTTAAAAAACTGGGAAGGCACATATTTTAAGAAATTTAGTAATTTTTAAATAAGTTTATAATCATTTGTTATTTTTAAATGTTTAATGTGGTAATACTAATTAATAATTATTAATAATAAATATATTATATGCATATTTTTGGGTTTTAAAGATCTATAGGTTAAAAACTCTATTTATGGGTAACATTGAGAATCTAGATACAATATTTTATACCAATATAATAAGTAATTAACTTATCAGATATTAATATTTCAGATCAAACAATAGTAATAAACTTCAAATCTTATAGTATACTACAATTTGCTGTGATAATTAATACATGTATTTTTAGGAATAAGATGTAATTGTAATCCGGTTTTATTTGAATTATAAAAATTTAGGATATATGTTAATATATGTTAACCTATATGTTAATTTAATAAAGTTTAGAATACACAAAATCTTATGCATATCATAAACTATTAATTTTATCTTTGTAAAAATGAACACAAAATAATTAAAGAGCAATTAAATAATAATAATTATAAATTAAGTCTTAAAATATAATAGTAATTAGTAAATATATATGTAATATTACTATTGTTATAGGAACTCTGTTCTCAATTTTTTGATACAATTAAATAATTCATCATCAGATGAAGCACATTCTTGAGCAAAGCGTTTGCATTCATTAAGAAATTTTTCTCTATCAGTTTCATTGATTTCCTAAAAAAAAAAAAAGATTAATTGAATAGCTGATAAAAAACTATTGACTTCTAAAAAACTTTGTAATACTTTTTGTTGATCTTCCAAAGTTTGTGTATTTTGAAAACTTTCTAATAGAGCAAGTTTCTTTGATGCATTCTAATGTTTGGAAAAAAAAAAACTATTAATTGGAAACTAAGGGGTTTTTTGTAATGAAATAAGTACTTGTATAACGTTTTTTGGAAACTTTGCCATAGTAGCAACATGAATACCAAAACTTTTATCACATGATCCTGGTTGAACTTGATACAAAAGTGTAAGACTATCATTTGATGTCACTGCAGAAACATGTTTATTGACAATTGTTGGTATGGTCTCATGAAGTTTGGTTAATTCATGGAAATGGGTTGCAAATAAAGTAAATGCTTTGGTTTTGGATGCCAGATATCTAATAAAAATATAATTTAGGTATAGCAAAACAATGTTGGTACATCATAGTAATTGATCATGTTTCATAAACCAAGTTGCCAATGTTGTACTTACTCTGCAATAGAACAAGCTATTCCACAGCCCTCATAAGTTGAAGTACCTCTACCTAACTCATCAATAATTACTAATGATTCTGCAGTAGCTTTCTAGATTGAATATGAAGATATATGTTAAGATAGTTAAAATATTTGTATTTATAAGTTATGTACTTTAATAATTGATACAGTCTCTATCATTTCCACCATGAACGTAGATAATCCTTTAATTTGAGAATCATTTGCTCCAACTCTAGCTAAAATAGCGTCAACTACACTAATATCTGCGCTATCACATGGGACAAAACTTCCCATATGTGCCATAAAAACAGCAACAGCAACACTTCTTATGTATGTACTTTTACCCCCCATATTTGGACCAGTTATTACATTGAAAGTACATTTTCCTAAAATAAATATCAAACAATAAATAATAAATTAAAAGATTAAAATATTAATTAATATATAAATCTAAAATGTACCTTGTTCAAAATATGCATCATTAGGTATGTAAGACACGGAATCTTGTAACTCAACACAAGGATGTCTCACTTGTTTTAAGTTTAACAAACCTGTACCTTGAGGATGTAAATTTGGTCTTACATATGGACGTAATGAACTAGCCGCCAGCATAGCAAAGCTTGTTAAAACATCCAATTGAGCTATAGTTCGACTCAGATTTAATAAAGTTGCATTGTAACTACCTATACATAAATGTAACATGAAAAATGTTTATTTTTAAAATTAAAAATGAATTATACTGGCAGTTTGAATGACTTCAACTACAATATCTTTTTGATGTCCCAAGTAATTTTGATGTATACATTGGTAATGTGTATTAAGATCAGTTAATTTTGAAGATCTAAAACGCATACCACCACCTTTGGTAGTGTCAAGTACTTCAAATAATTTATTGTTTGAAACAGTTTTACAATCCTACAAAAATCAATTTTTTTTTTTTTTTAGAGTTCAATAATGTAATTGAATAGAATATTCACTTTTAATGACACTTTAAAGAAGAATCCATACTGGGAATTTGAATCTAATTTAACAGGTATTCCAAGAACTCCAGAAGTTTTGGCCAAATTGGATCTCATTTTTTTTTCATAATCATCCATTTCATTTCTCATTTTTTGTAGCTCTTCATCAAACTCAGATTTTATAAGAAATTCACCACGTTCAACAAGGTTAAAATCAATTGTTTCTTCAATCATAGCTTGATATTTACTCATATCATTAATAAATTCTTTTAATGGATTAGTAATAACACTATTGAGAGTTTTATTGCTTGAATAGCTTAAGGTTTCTACAAGGTCAGGAAGTTTTTTAATTGCTTGATAAATTCTAATGTACAAAATAAGAGATATAAAAATAATCATAATATATTTATTTAATTTATCAAGAAATATATTAATACCTATAACAGTCTTGGAGGTTAGCCTTTTTTCGTTGAATCTTACGCATTAGAGCTTGAAGATCAGGTATTGTACGCAAATGTTGATCATATAGTTGTTGTCGAATATCTGTGCCTGTGACCAGTGTTTCAACAATATCTAAACGTTCATTTATTTTATTCATATCAGTCAAGGGCTGTCTAATCCATTGAGTTAATAACCTAAACATTAATTATATAAGCAAACAAAATACATTTTTTTTTTCTATAAAATATGATGCTAAATTAATACGACAGAAACAAAACAAACCTATGTCCATGGGGTGTGCGACATTTATCAAAAATTCCAAGCATAGAGTCAGTTTTGGACATGGTTCCTAAGTTTGAAAAAAGATTAAGTGCTTGAACACCAGCATTGTCTAAATGAACAAATTTTTCATATGATAGATTTTCAATAGTAAATTGGTTGAGATTATCCGAATCAGACAATAACTAAAATGTACATAAATATTTAATGATAATATAAATATTTTACATATATTATAAATTATCTTATATACTTCAAGGTATTTAATAACTGCTGCAATTGCAGTAGAAGCAATTTCAAGTTGTAATTGGGGTAATGTGTGGGCATTGAGTTGTTGTCCTTCTTCAAATATAATTAATTTGTTTAAATCTTGTATTAAAGTATCAGTGCTGAATTCAGATTTTTTTCTCATAGTTACAAGTATTCCACATCGTTCAATCACTTTGTTTAACTGTTCAACATCAGGATTATTACCATCTATCATGAGAATGCATTCTTTGGGTGATACTTTAATCATCATTGATTCAGTATGAGAAAAAAATTCATCATCAGTAAATTCACTAAGTTGGAATTTATGTTCAACTGTGTCAACAGCTCCTAATCCAACTAACTAAGATATGCAATACAAAGAGTAGAGTATTTAGTTTATTATTATTTTTATTAAGATATTGTAATATTTAAATTAAAAAAAAATAAAAACCTTATTATTTCTGAAGTTTGGACTGAGCTTTAAAGCAATAACTATATTTGCTTCTATTTGATCCACATTTCCAAATAGTAAATCTTCAAATTGTAATAAGTTGCCTGGTGAACCCTACAAAATGTAATTGTATAAAAAAAATGTATACAAAGTTTAAATATATTTTATAATAATAATGATACTTTAAAATCTAGAGCCCATTTTCCTCCTTTATTGACAAATACTTCTACTTTATAATGATTGATCAACAATAATTGTCTGATATATGCTTCAAAATTGGCTTTGTTGAATATCAATGATTCTAGTGTATCGTCATCTAAATTAACACCATAACAGTTATAATTAATTAACAGAAAGGGAAATGTTTTATTTTAAGTTTATCTATAATATTAATAGGTTATAAACAGAATCACCTGATCCAATGGTTTTTATGGAATGATTTGTTTTATAAAAATCTTTAGCAGCAAAAATAGCATCTTGACCATGTACTGTATAATAATCTTGTCGGTTGAAAAAACGAATGGTTGTTAATGGTTTCTAGAGAAAAAGTTCAAGACAGGAGTTTGAGATAACGTCAATAAAATATTTTAACATTTAAAGGCCAAGCAAATTAATTTTATATTGATAAATGTATGAAAATTTAACACAATAAATAATTTGATACAAGGACATTATATTAATCTAACAAATAAGGGTCATTAGTTTACAGTTTTTATACTTTGTGTTCAAAAATATTAGAAAAAATTTAATGAGTTTTAAATCAAGGTCTAAAGATTGTGGCTTAATTGTTTATACAAATATTTTCAATTTATATTATTAAAAACACTAATAGCTTTGTTGATAGTATTTTATCTTTTAATAAAGGTATGAATAAGATTTTTAAATTCATCGTTTGTTATAAGTAAATAAATAATTTATAATTAAGTCAATAATGAAAAAAATATTCTAGAATTTAAGTTTAAATAAATTATTATATCAAATAAGAAATAATGCTAACATTGATAATTAACAGGTTAACTGCCACGTGTACCAGATATGGTACACTGTAGTATTTCCAAGTAACACATAACATTTGTTATAATGTTTGTCAATTTCGCTAAGCTAAAACAATAAGAAAATAAGATTTTTAATTTATGCTTTAAGTATTTGAATAGTATTTGTCAATGATTCCAGTGTACCTTAAATAGTATACGTAACACGAATGTAATGTTCAGCCGTGTACCATAACTGGTACACTTAACAATATTTTATTAACATTAAAAATTGCTGTGGCAGTTAACCTGTTAAGTTTCATTATCTCATAAGAAATCTATATAAAAACATTTTTTGTAATAATTTTAAGTAAGAAATGATTGGTAAAAATCATAAGTATTAAATTAAAAATAACAAAGAAATTACAGTTAAATTAATACATCTGAACAACAAAAATATTGAAAATAATAAAAAAAAAATTTTTTTGTGACGTATGTAGATGAACCCTGCACTAAACAATTCTCAGACAACATTAAGCTTAAGGGTTAAGGTAATCTGTAAAAGTTCATGGTCAGAACAACCTATTTTCCATTTCCTCAAAATGTATAATATTTCCATTATCTATTGAATAAACAAGTTAGTGAATTATATAAATCTTAATAATTTCTTTCATTTTAATCATTTAAAAAGTTAAATTCAGAGTGCATATTGTTTGTGTTAATGCTGTTCTATGTAATATTATAATATTATATATTTATTAGTTTATTTAACTACATATAAAAATGCAATTAACACTAAAGGTAAGAATAACATTTTTAAATTTAATATGTAGAAAAAATAAAAAATATTATATAACAATCTTTATGAATAACTATTAATTATTATTTACAAGTGATTAAGTTATAATAAAATTATTAAGGTTAGGATTTTTATTTTATTTTATAAGTCAACTTCTTATAAATTAATTGTAAATAAAAAACTATAAATAAAAAATTTCAAAATTGGATATCAACATTTAAAAGAAATTTAAAGTATTTTGCTTTACGATATGAAAACATATATCTATATAAAATCTACAATATTATCAAATTATTAAATTTTTAATATAATTAAAACTTATATTATTTTCAATGACATAACACTAGTGATGTAATAAAAGTCAGTATCTGCTACTGTAATTAGTACCTATAAATCTAGAAATATTTTTGTAGATAAGAATTCAATAATAAATATTTTCAATATTCATAAAAATGTAGATATGATTACTATTTAAAATAATAAAAATAGTTAATTATGTTTTAACTATATTTTCAATTTTCTCTTCTATTTTGAATAATATCATTGGGTGAAATATGTAATTTATATAAATCTAGTGTAATAATGACTGTTATACTTAAAAGATTTTACTCTATAATAAAAAAATAATTCCGTAGTTTTAAATTAAAATACATATTTTATTTAGATCTTTTATATATTTCTTCGAGAATATAATATGTCCCAATAAACAAGTTTATGTAAAGATCCAAATATTAACAAAAACATATTATTATCCTCTATTATTTATATATGTTTAATTTAAGTGTGCATTTATTCTATTTAGTTGAATAGAAGTAAATATTTAACTTCTACTGACTCTTCTTCTCCTTTATCTTTCTCACAACTATTTGGGATCAGCCACCCTTGTCTTAAACCTCCTATACTTCTACAGTCTAGAAAGTTCAAATATAAATTTAAGGATTAATTATTAATTTTTATAGTAGTTAAATATATTTCAAATACTAAATAATTTTGTTCCTTTTTAGTTCTTTATCTCATTTATATGTGTTTACCATTTAATATAATTCAAACAAATTTTATTAGGAATCTCAAAATTGAATCATAGAAAAATGATAAATTAATTAAATTTTATGTATTGAAGTTAGATATTGAAAAAATAAATATAATTAATATAATAAAAATCACCAATACTTTAA